TTTATTTGACAGACAGAGATCACAAGTAGGCAGAGAGGCAGACAGAGAGAGAGGGGGAAGCAGGCTCTCCACCGAGCAGAGAGCCCGACGCGGGGCTCGATCCCAGGACCCTGAGATCATGATCCGAGCCGAAGGCAGAGGCCTTAACCCACTGAGCCACCCAGGCGCCCCCCCTCACTTTTTTTTTAACAGCTCATGGACTCCTTGAGTGGATGAACCAGGATGTATTTAACCAGTCCCCTCCTGATGGACACTGGGTTGTTTCAAGAGCATTTGCTGTTACAAATAATGTGGAGCAGTCATAATCTTTGTAAGACATTTCCTGTGTTCCTCTGTGCAAGGTTACTGCTCAGTTGGGCATTCCAATTTCTAACTCCCTTTCTATGCAGCACCATTTCAGAGCAACTCTTTATACTGTGATTGACAGCAACTCATTTCTCAGTGTCTTTCAACAGTAAGCTAAAGCTGACACATATGATAAATACAGTAAAAGCTGCCAATTTCGTCTTTTTTCTTCTTTTTTTTCCCCTCACTGAATGGGAACGATGGTTCCAATTCCTGTCTTGCTAAAGGCTTAACAACATAACTGGTTTCAGGAATGAACAGTAAAATTCATTGCACTGTTTAGAAAACTGCCACACTAACCACTCCCTTTTTCTCCAACTTCTCTTTTGCCAGTGATGGTACCTGAGAACATTCCCAACTTGATCAACTAAACCCCTCCCCCACAATGCTGGTGACCCAGCGCAGACAGTGGGCTGTATACCCTCTGTCTAATTCTTCTTGGCTTAGCATACTGCATACACACACACACACACACACACACACACACACACTAACTAACTAACTATGAGTGGGAAGCAATCTACAGGGTTTTTTTTGCGAGAGCCTTTAATTGCAGGCATGCAACTACGTGCACACTTTTTTCCCCTGGCCACATCTGGGAGATTCCTGGAGAGCGCTGTGATGACTCAGACCCACTTCTGAGAACATGGCCCGGTGAAGACTGAGTGGTGAGACCTTGATGTGCTGGCTCTTCTGTTAAGATTTAACTGGACTAAGGCAAGGTCTGGATTTCAGGAAGGGCATGAACACTCAGTGTTTCTGTTCTGTTCATCAGGAGGCGATGCAGGCTTACAAGCATCACTGAGGATGGCGGATGGAACTCGTCGCTGGAACTCAGGAGAGAGAAGAGACACCGGAGAACTGCTGGGGGAGAAGCTCTCCATAAACAAGAAGGTAAACAACTGTGTGGTCTCTGAGGGAGTGCTGAGCTTAGACAAACATCTACGCTCAATTTTTAGCAGCTTTCTGCAGGAAAGAAGAACCCAGGGCCGGAGGCAGTAAAAGGATGGGCTGCCCTGAGAAGGACTGAGGACTCAAGGAAGAAAAAACACAGTTAAAATGATGAAAAAGAAATGATATCGATAAGGAAGAAACAGGGAAATGTGTAAAGAAGTAAGGGTAGCTGAATACATGGCTATGTCTAAAAATCTCATATTTTATATGTTTACTGAAAAGTGAGACGACATGATTCCCTCTTCTCTCCCCTCTTGAAATATCAGTAGTCCAATAAAAGTCCATACAGAAGTACTAAATGTATTAGTAATGAAATTCTTTTAAAAATGCATTCAAAGGGACGCCTGGGTGGCTCAGTGGGTAAAGCAGCTGCCTTCGGCTCAGGTCATGATCCCAGTATCCTGGGATCGAGTCCCACATCAGGCTCCTTGCTCGGCAGGGAGCCTGCTTCTCCCTCTGCCTCTGCCTGCTGCTCTGTCTGCCTGTGTGCGCTCATGCTCTCTCTCTCTCTCTCAAACAAATAAATAAATAAAATCTTAAAAAAAAATTCATGCAAAGGGAGCACCTGGGTGGCTCAGTGGGTTAAAGCCTCTGCCTTAGGCTCAGGTCATGATCCCAGAGTCCTGGGATGGAGCCCCGCATCAGGCTCTCTGCTCAGCAGGGAGCCTGCTTCCTCCTCTCTCTCTGCCTGCTTCTCTGCCTACTTGTGATCTCTGCCTGTCAAATAAATAAATAAAATCTTTTTAAAAAATGCATGCTAAAAAGGTGAGAAAACTGGAAAAATTGTGTTAAAAATATAAAACCTGACCAAAAAATATATATGCATATATACATATATATAAAACCTGAAACTTTAAAAAGCAGCCAGGACGATCAGTCCTACTGTTATATAATTCATTATTCAGCTTGCTGCATAACACAATGGTTTCTTTAAGAAATTTTTTATATTAATAACTTATAGATGGATATTTGCAAACACCTGCTAATCTACTGATTCAAAGCATATGTTGATTTTAAGGAAATCAAAGGATTCTGACCTTGGCCCATAGAACATGACTATACCTTTCACTTTCCCCCCTATGATATGCAAAAGCCCAGGGCAAGGACTAAGGGCACACAACTGAGGGAAGTGAAAGGCAACTGGCCAGGTGCTTTACATGTATTATACAGGAAACTTGGAGAGAGGCTACAGCACTTTCCCAAGGAAATGGGAAAGAAGGATTTGAATACTGGTTTGTTCGAGCCCAATGTCCCATGGTTTTTCCAACTACCATGCCTTCCTTCCTTTTATTTATTTATTTACTTTTAAGATTTTACTTATTTATTTTATGGAGAGAAACACAGTGAGAGAGGGAACACAAGCAGGGAAGTGGGGGAGGGAGAAGCAGGCTTCCCACTGAGCAGGGAGCCAGATGGGGGGCTCAATCCCAGGACCCTGGGATCATGACCTGAGTGGAAGGCAGAAGCTTAATGACTGAGCCACCCAGGAGCCCCTGCCATGCCTTATTTCTAATCGAGAGTCCCTAGAGTCCCTACCCTTACTGTGAGCTCATGCTATGGTTATGCATATCCAATAATTATGCCGTGAGGTAGAGTACTGTAAGGGCGAATGCGCAGGCACTGACCCAGTTCTAAGGGAATACAGAGGGACAGCAAATGAGATTATGCGTTCGAACTGGGTCAGCCCCTACATAACAAGGAAATCTAATTATATTAGATGCAAATTGCATTAGTCCCTCGATATTAAATTATCAGGAAATCTACTCTAACGTGTCACAGGAGGTCTTTTTGGTTCTTTATATCAACATTGAGTATAAAGAACTTGTCTAGTTTAGATGTTAAGTAACTTTCTCCCTATTTTCCACATTATTTTCAGCAAAGAAACATGAGCCAATGAGAAAGTGTTTAACTTATTAAGATAGCACTTATATATATACCTCTTCTCCGTCCGTAAGTTATACCATTCTGTCTAAAGAGCAGAGTGAGATTTAAAGCAACTGGTGAAAATCTAATAAGCAAAACTTTTGAGACTAAGTTAGCACCTCTCTCACCCCTGCCCCAACCCCCACAAGGAAGCCAAGTTGTTTTTGTTTTAAAATGCTTTTTCTTCAATTAGAGTTTGAGGGGGGTGGAGATGGGTGTTAACCAGCACCAGGAAGAGCCTGGGGTGGGCAATCGGTCAGAGAATAACATTTATTGATCACACACCATGTGTAGGTCATTTGACTATATGCAGGGTTGAGCTCTACTAAAACCCAGTGCTTAGACCTGTTACTGATCATTCTGCAAAAAACGAGATTTTGAGAAGTATGGGGAACAATCTGAGGTAAGGGAACTAGTGCTCATATTATCAACTCACTGGCAACTCTTTCATCAAGAAATATTTATAGATTTGTTCTGGAACACAATGGCTGAGTTTAGAGGCATCAGGATAGCAAATAGGACAACAGCATTAAAATGATGATGTGAGAATACATTACAACAGCTGCTTTTTAAATTGAGGCCAAAATAAACTCTGTAGGAAAACTATCAAAGCAGGACCTTTGTACTAGGAAACAGACACCATGCATGGGAGATTTAGGAGGCGTCTACAGTCTATGTATTAACATGTCAAATTCTCTGAATAAATTACAACCAACTGATCATTTAAGACTGGATTGTTTCATCTTACAAAGTAATTGAAAAATTAAAAATCAGACAAATTTAAATTTCTGAAACCCTGAGTAAGTCCCCTCGGTGTTTTTCACTTAGGTAACTGCATAGAAAAGGAGCAGATAATAAATATGTCCTAGGTAGCGCTGATCACCCTTGAACCTTACTGTACAATTGTAAGCAATTCCATTGGAAAGCTACGTAGTAAGGTGGACGGGGAGCCCTTGCTCATTTCCTGCTCTTGATCCCTACTACCTTAATGTTCTAAATGAACCGATAAGAACCCTGGATGCTGATTCAGGAGAGGCTCTCTGCTTAACTCTCTCCCCAGTAG